TGGTAAGCAATCAGATTTTCTCTTTCCATCTTCCATCTTTCATCTTTCAGTTCTTACTACGATGCTAAACACGAGACAAGCCGTACCGGATCGCCCGGCGATTCGCGAATCAATGCCCCCAGGGTACCCCGAAAACACACGCCCCGCTTGTACCCTAGGCACAAGCAGGACCAACCCATCACTCTCCTGTCCTAGGTGTCCAGGTCCCCGTCCAAACTAGGACTCCAAGCCCCCGCTCCTGAGTTCCGGACTCAGTGCGGTGCAAAGACCTCCTCCACCAAAATAAAACCCTGATAGTCGGTCCGGAATGAGCCGGATCCGCGACAAGAGAGCAACAAGTCTTCCAAGCGCCCATACACAAGTATATGCTCGGGATAATAAATCTATGACTTGCCTGGATGCCTTATGCAACGATCGGTCCTTAACCGACAAGACAGGGAAAGCAGTGTAACTAAGCTATGTCTCGTGTCCACGACGACACAACCTCTTACACCCACCAAGACCCAAACCATATCCTTGCCCGGTCACCATTTTCCTTTCCACCATTTTTATATTTTCCAAGTGATAGTACTCCAATAATGTATTTCCTATCTCTCACGAGTGACAGGCAATCACTCGACTTCTACCGAAGTCCTGTAGCATAGCATTCTACATGATCATGGCATACTAGTAAGACTCATAGGATAGAGATATATATGCAAGTGGGTTTCATCCAACTCCTTAAACTTAATGCACAAATATAATTTAAACTGCAGAAAGTAGGGGTTATGCATCGGGGCTTGCCTGGGTAAGATATATATTAAAAGTTAGTATCTGCATCTTCAGATCGTCCACCATCAACTGAATAGAAAGTCCATTGCATCATCTCCTGGAGAGAATACCATTACACCATCTTCGGATTCCCAATCATCTTTCAATTGGTCTGTTATCCATCATCGTACCTATATGATATGCAATGCGATGCGATGCAAAGACGTAATTAATCGACTGCAATCGTGACTTGAAAAATACAATTTACGCCTCTCAAATTAACGAGCTAGTTCTAACGACGATTGTTCTTAGGCTATATATCCATGTTGTCGAATAAGACGTTATTTCCCAACGATTAATTTAGTTATATAAACCCAAGTTGCTTCTTTATTTCCTTTTATCAATCTAATCTTTATTCGAAATAGAGCATCATCATCTATCTAGCAATCAACTATTCTGGAGCTACAAAATTATAGTGGGTACCTAATATTGCTAGGAGCCTACTATACAAATTTTAGAATCAACAATATTACCAATTTATCATGGAAACTCCTACAAGTTTATATTTTACAATATTAAGTACCTTATATTAATTATATAGCTCCTAAGATTTTTATCGCACTATGTGGACAAAATACACTACTAGGTAGATCATGATTTTAGGAGCCTACCAAACTTTGTTTGGCATTTTTATGATTTTTCTACATTTTATTATCAATTTTGAAGTATTCAGACGCTTGTTGAAATTAACAAAACACCAAAAAGAAGGACATAGGTCCTTGGGCTCAAAGCGGCCTAGCCAGCCAACACGGCCTGGACCAAGGGCCAAGACGGACCAGGCGGACGGGTGCGCGGCACCAGGCGGGGGTGAAGGCGCGGACGGCCCAGCAGCCGAGGGCATGCCGGTCCAGCGCGCGGCACAACCTAGGCGGCATGCGAGCGGCCCACAGGCACACCTGGCCGGCGGCCCAACGGCGAGTAGCAACGCGCAGACGGCCCAAGCGCAACACTGGCAGGCCGGCCTAGCTAGGAAAAGCCCAGGGCGGGATGTTGATTGCAAAAGAGACCTCGTCGTCTTTCTATTTCGCATTACGACTGCTGACGCTATTTTCCTCAGTCACAGGTTTTGCATTAAGGACCCCGAAGTTACTCGTCTTCGCATTGACTTCATCCCCGACGGCTCCAGGAAGAGAGCACGGCACAGAGCTGTCCGACCGGCGGCCAAACCCGGCCGGGAGAGGCTCCACGGTGGTGGGACGCCATCCGCAAGCGCTACAGAGCTAGCTCGGGGTCCGCGTGGCCACGCAAGACCGCAACGGCCCAAGGTTAGGGCAGCGGCGTGCAGGGGCGTGACTGCCCATGTGCAGACGCGAAGGGCGGCAGTGGCGCATGCGTGCCGGCGAGACTACTAAGACAGAGGCTAAACGGGGAGTCAGGGAAGGTCCAGTAGCTCACCACGAACACCCTAGAAGAGTTGTCGAGAGCAGGGATGGTTCGAGGCGGACTGGCCACGTGCGCGGTGAAGAAGAGCGACGGCGCACCGCACAGGCACCAATGTGCCACCCCATCTCTAGCGATGACTCTTGCCAAACCACGACGAGCATCGACACAAGCAGGTCAAGGGTAGTCTAAGATTGCAAGCAATTGAATTAATGTCGATCGTGGAGGCCTACCCCCAAACGCGCTCTGTTCCAGCGGCGAACTGACCGGCGGCGACGGCTATGCTTCGTGCGCGCTCGCTGGTGGACGATTTCCACCACGGTCGACTGCAGTGGTAAGCTAAAGACTTCGGGCACAAGTGCGCGCAAGGAATTAGAGGGAAGCGCTCCATGCACGATGAATTTAGGGAGGGAAGGAGAGGCGGCCATGGCGACTGGCGACGACAAGAAGTCATAAAAGCGCGGAGCAGAGAGGGTCGGCGAGCGGACTGCTCGAGTGATCAGGGTGTGGGGGTAGGACGCCCGTGGCGCGATGTGGCCAACAAGGCGCGTCGGTTAGCACGGATAGCACCAAAAGCCATGATTGCGCGTGGTCAAATGCATAGCGACGGGAACATGACGACGTCGAGTACAGGGCGAGTTAGGCGGGTTGAGTAGCAAGGACGCGCTCTACAGCGACCGAGGTGACAAGAGGGCAGGGGCGTAGGCTTACGTCGATGCGGGTGAGCAGAACCACGGTCGGTTACCGCATGCGCACAGCACGGAGCAGCCGCGACATAGACGGGACCGGCGAAGTCGACGGCCACCAAGCTGGCCAGCGGGGCGAGGCACGGAAGGAGGGCAACCAAGCGAGCGGGGATGGCAGCGCGACGACGGTTGACTTGGCTCGGCCAGGCGCTCAGCCGGCAGGCCAGGACACGGCACGGCCAGACACGGCCTGAGCGCTGAGGGACGTGGTGACAGCGGCCAAAGGCCGAACGGCCAAAACCAGTGCCATGCATGCTTTTTAAAGCGATGCCAAGGCCACCAAACAGCGAGGTTAGGGTTCGGCCATCTTCACTAATCCAAGGTCCATGCCACCAGCTAGCTAGGGAAACACTCGGCGCGACCAAAGAGCGATTAGGGTAAAAGATACGAGAAGGCCAAGATGGGTTCGTCGCACAGGGCTCTGGTTCGCGAACCTAACACCGAACGTGGTCGTTGGCTTGTACTAACTGGTTACGAGCAAATCTAGGGATAACCCCGCTACGTCAGATCATTCTACGAACCACTCCACGCCTATGTACTCACCAGGATGCCACTAGCGATACAAGAATATCAAGTTAGTGTTTAAGAAATTTAGTTAGAATTTAAATGCCAACACGTCATTGTCTATCTTTTCCGACTTAGAAAATTATGACTTCTAGTTTTGAACTACATTCCAAAACTACTCAACTAGTTAGTTCAATACAACTCGCCACGAGTGATACTTTTATATATAAGTCAAATTTCAAAATTTTAGGAAAATCGTTTCAGAAATTTTTCTTAGGCCAAAAATCATGGTGCTAAATGAGATCGTAACACCGGGGTGTTACAGGGGGCGGGCAAGGCGACCCCGAGGACGCCGGTCATGGGTGCGAGCGCACCGACCCCTGGGTCGCTGACCTCCGTTGCCTTCTCCGCTCGCTGACGGATAGCGCAGCGGGCTCGTCTCCTCCAGGCGTCCTATGGCATCTCTAGATCCGGCGACCGGCGTCAAGCCTCCTATCCTCCGATCGCGCCACCAGCACCTCCGCAGAGCTCGGGCTGCCGCTGCCCCTCGACGCCCGGCTAACCGGCATCCAGCGCCACCACCCGCCGACCTGACACTACAAGAAATGTGGCATCTTTTGACATTTCATATATGTCATAATACCTGGAAAATAAGTCACAAGTTACCATTTATGACGCTAAGTTGACGAAAAATTAAATGTCAAAAGATGAGCGTCTTTAAAGGCAACTTTTGACGTTTATGTGTTCATGTCATAACATTATGACACCTGATTTTATGTCGACCTCGCCACGTAAGCAAATGCCACGTAGGATGGCTTGCTGATGTGGCATACTCTAAAAAAATAAATTCAGCCTGTTTAAGCCCACATAACAAGCAGGTTTATAATGGGCCAAGCCCATTTATTTACGCTGTTTTGTGGCCCATTATTTTTTATTCTTTTGGCCCATCTTTTAATCAAATCAGACTAGCCCATGTCGGCCCATTCAGTTTTAACATTGTTTTCAGCCCAATATTCAATGCACTCAATAATCAGCCCATGTATTATAGCCCATTATCATGTTAATACAGCAATTAATAGTTCCAGTACACGAGAACTACATCAACTATAATAATCTCTACAACTAAAAATTAGCGATGGGAATCGTTGACCGACGTGCGAAAAAACGCACGCTCCTGCGCTCGCCCGGCATGCGATGGACCTGGCTCCCGTGCGTGCGCCTTCGCTCCGTCCGGCGTCTCTTTGCTAGCTCCCCCGCGGTGGCCCCGGCCTCCGCGCCTCGCTCCCGGCTCCAAGCCCTCGCTCTCCCCGAATCCCCGTCATCCAGCAGAAATGGATTGAAGAATCAAACGTCAATTAGCCCTTAATCACAGCAATCCCCATCCGATGACAAACCCTGCCCCCGTCGCCTCGACGCTGTCTCCACAGTCCACGCCCACCCGGCGACGCTGCCTCCACGCCCTCCCACGGCTGCTGCTGAATCACCCTGCTGGATCTCTGTGACACCGCGCGCCTCGACGTAGCCGGACGATACGACGAGGCAAAGGAGGAGAGGGAGGCGATGACGACGGCGAGGACGGCGGCGTGTGTGCTGGCGGTGTGGGTGCTCGTTGCTGCGGGTCTATCTAACCTGGGCTCCGCCCACGCGCCCCCGGCCAGCAGCAAGCCACAGCGGGAGTTCGACTACTTCGCGCTCTCCCTGCAGTGGCTCGGCACCATATGTGCCTCCACCCGCCACTGCTGCGCCAGCAACGGCTGCTGCCGGTACGTGCTATGTGCCGCCGCCCCTGCCATGACTAGCGGCTCCCCTTCCCCATCTTATCCTCACGCTCAAACGCCGAAATCTCGCTGCTCCCTCGCCCCATAGATCAGTTTTCTGCTATCTGATTTGGTTTGGGTTGATGCTAGACCTCACGGCATTCTTTTTATTTCTCCTGCCCCACGTGCAGCTTGAAGCCGCTCCAAACGTTCACGATCCGTAAGTGCTCGTTCCGTTCTCGTTCAATTTCTTTTTTTTATGTTTCGTCAGGTGATTTCGTGATCGGTTTGGTCTGAATTTCGCTACTATTGCCGCTCGAGCAGATGGGCTATGGCCGGACTACGACGACGAGACCTGGCCGTCGTGCTGCCACCACACCCAATTCGACATGGACAAGGTGATCGTCGACAAGCGTGCGAAACAAATCATCGCTCGCCCCCGCTCCCTTAGTGCGAAATCACTCGCGTCTGCGCCTGCCCGACGCGCCTTCCACGTCGCTCCCCCGCAATTCACGCAAGAGACGCGCCGCCCATCCCCGTGCCCAAGAAGCCTGCCCATGAACTTTGATAGCCTACAACGCACGAGCATGACCTAAATGGTTGAAACATCCACGAACTTTGTGAATCTACGACGCCACGCTCTCCGTGATTGTGTTAATTTCACGAACTTTGCCTTTTAGATTAAATGTCACTTTAACGTCGGTATTTAATTTCACAATATTGTTATCTTATCGCGCGATCCGTGTGTTTTTTTTACAAAAGTTTAGCTATCCCGTAGCAACGCATGAGTACAAACCTAGTAATACTAATGATACAGATGCATAAATTTCTAATTCTTCTAAATTAAGAAGCACCAACATCTTGTTCTCTCCATCCATGCCTTGTAGACCCGATGTCAACAAAAGCAGCATGCCTTCGTGCTGCTCTACACCCAGCGCTCTGCAACCATATAAACACACGGCATAGCTCATCAGGCACCGAAAAGATTTAATAAGATAGAAAAATATAGAAGGGTTCCTATAGGAGTAGCACTAGCAGAATACTTGACGCCTAATGATTTGGTACTATTTCTCCCTATATTGCTACAAATAGACAACCTAGCAAAATCTGTAATATTCACAACTAAGGCCTAGCTTAGTTCTCAAAAAATTTCACCCGAAACTATCACATTGAATCTTACGGCACATGCATAGAATATTAAATATAGACGAAAAAAAAAACTAATTGCACAGTTTGGTTGAAAATCGCGAGACGAATGTTTTAAGACTAATTAGTCCATAATTAGCCATAAGTGCTACAGTACTAACATGAGCTAATGATAGATTAATTAGGCTTAATAAATTCGTCTCGTAGTTTCCCAGCGAGCTATGTAATTAGTTTTTTTTATTAGTATCCGAAAACCCCTTCCGACATCCTCAAAACATCCGATGTGACATCCAAAAATTTTCATTTCGCGAACTAAACACACTAATACAAAATCACAAAGTATCAAGTTTCTAGGTGTTTGCCAACTCAGATAATTATATGCTCAATTAATAGAGCTTCCTATTTGCTGCATGTAAATTGAAACTGTGTGCCCCACCATTCTGCAAGTGAAAGGCTAGAGATTTTCACAGCAGCAAGAGGGCCAAACAAGTGTTGTAACAAACTGTGTGTTACTACAAGACCAATCATTTCTAGCGGAGGACCGGGCATAGCTCGGTTGGCTTGCTCGCCAGGTGTGCCAGCGGCCGGGCGTGAGTTCGAACCCTGGGTTCGACACTCGCGTGCCTCACGGGGTTTTTCCCCTTTAATAAATTTGTCTGCAGCCTCGCGCGTGGATGTGCCACAATGATCAGGTGACGTGCCCGTGCGAAGCCATCGACTTCGGATATCTCTCAGCCACGTGCACTCTCTTCGTGTAAATATAGGTCTAGCGTGCACACTAGGATGGGTGGGTGTGAGTTTGTGTGCGTGTGGTGGTGTGAGTTTAAATAGGGCCTTGTTTAGATTGTAAGTTTTTTCACTCTCTCCATTACATCAAATCTTTGAACACATATATGAAATATTAAATGTATATAAAAAAATAACTAATTACACAGTTTGATTATAAATTACGAGACGAATCTTTTGAGACTAGTTAGGCCATGATTGGACAATAATTGTCAAATACAAACGAAAATACTACCATGCCAAATAGTGATTCCTATCCCCAATCTAAACTAGGCCTAGTCCGACTGTACCGGAAGAGTTGAGGCGCAAAAAAATCATTTCTAGCGATTAGTATCTCAGAGACACAAGGTGACGACAAGGCAAAAACTGACCTTTGCGTCATCAATGTCCAGCGAGGCCTGCAGGCTGTCGGAAGGGGAGCTGCCACCGTCAAGGGGGCCGCTGCTGTACGAGAGCCAGCTGGAGGTGAGCAGCACCACTTCCTGTGCAGGATTGCAACACACAGAAAGTGTGTTTCAGACATCCGGAATCAGGATTGCAGCAAACAAAAAAAAATGATAAGGCTATAACTATAACCTGAACGTGCAGATATATACATGTTACTGCTATGACTACATTGATAGATATAGCCTGAACCTGCTCTGACATAACCAAATACAATATCCACGCAATAGAAATGCTTGGTAAATTGGATAACAAAATATATATTATCAGAGAGATCTAAGTAGAAACTATCACATGTCATCTGAAGTCTACAGAAAACAAGCAACTAGGCGTGCATCGAATCATTTGAGCAGGAATAACACAAAATGAGCACTTCGGCGTCTTGAGGATCTCTATTTGTCTACTGCAGTTTCGTATTGCTTACAAACAACTGAAGAATGAATAATGGAGGACTCGAAATTAGTAACAACCTGTTGTTGCTGAGTCCTGTGTTCCTCTGCTGCTTTGCACACCGCACATTTGCACGGCACGCAGGACGCGCCAAACAGCCAAGCGGCCGTGTCCACTGCGCCCAGCCGCCCAGGCTGCAGGTCGTGACTCTACCACAACGTGCCTGCGTCGCACTATGCAGTAGCTGCTGCCGTACTGACCTTACCATGTCATCGCATCACAGCCCCATCGCCTGTCTTGAATTTCTCCGCACCCATGGGGCCATGGGTAGTGCAGATGCTGGCTGCTCCGCCCCTGCCTATGAATCAATTGAAATGATTCGTTCAAAAAATCAGTGGATCTTGATCGAGAGGATGTGTATTAGGAAAGGGCATTTCCTCACCTAGGCAGCGCCATGCCCTTTCGGGGACCTGGCTGACGACCATGGTCGGCCTCCCCGTTGTCCTCCGTATCTTGGCCCGGAACGCCACCGACAACAGATTGTAACAGCCAGCAGGTGTGAGGGCGCGGGGTGGCCGGGCGCGGGCGGATCTGCCGATGTGCTGCACGCCTGCTTCCCGATCCGGAGGAGCCCGCTACAGGAGGAGAAGCTGAAAGGCGGAGGCGGCAAGTAGGAAAAGGGGGGCCGCGGGAGGCGAGGCGGACAAGCGGCGCTCGGGAGTCGGGAGAGTCGGGATAGGAGGAGGGTAGGGTTTCCAGGGTTTTTATTTGAAGGAAGATGTATATCGGCCGTTCGTTTTGAGATCCAATGGTTAAAATGGAGAGGGCTGGATTCGGGCTGAAACTGGATGCCATTTTGAGGCCCAACACAGTCTAATGTTTTTCATTTTTAATATTCATTGTAATACACTTTTCATGACTATTGACTAGCTAAGAAGTGTTGAGTAGGACTTTCATTTCAAAGATTTTTGAAGTGATCTGTTATTTTCTAAGGTTTAAGTGGTTTTCTGCGAAGTTTTGGAAAGTAACTCCAACTTGAACTACACGTCATGTTAAACAATATCAAACCACTAGAAAACAATTAATATATGAGAAGGCATGTTCCATTTGAGCTCATATCCTAATAATAGATCGAATATTAAGTATTTTGTCAGGGATTACTCAAATTTGTATTTTGGTGACTCAAACAGAAAAAAAAAATAATACCACAACATGGCCGAAAAATTCTAAAAATGGTCATGGGAGAATAATATGGTTATATAAGCTTGCCATAACAACTCTAAATCATTTTAACAAAATGGGACATACATTGTTCACAAATAGGTACATCTCTCATATAGTTACAATTAGGGATGAACACGGTCGAGAACGGTCAGAAAAACCCACTAACCATTTTTGTTTCCATATTCTTATACGGAAACGGAAAAGAAATCGGGAATACTCAGTTAGGAAAACGAAAATGAGATATTCAGGACGTCGGGAATGATACAATACAGTCGGATACAAGTCGATAACGATCGGGAATGGTGAATTAAATCGGGATACATGTCGAAAACTTGTTACATCTACTCTACAATCAGTGCGGACGTGCAGGTGCTCACGTACACACTACAGATGTTACATCTATTGTGTACAATAGTTCAACCAGTCATGAACATTACTACAGACGTACTGCTATTCACCGGCAGTGGTGGCTCTAGGAAGAAATGACTCTTGGAATTACAGACGTACTCTTGGAATTGGAAGCGGATGTGGGCCCACTAGGCAGGCACCGGGCGCCGGCGGATCTAGGGCCGAACGGGAACCCGCGGCCGGGGAAGGGGGCACCTAAGTGGACTGGCCAGCTGGGCCACAACCCATAGAGGCCTGAGAGCGTGGTTCCTGGCGTTGGGCCATGGGAACCCCAAATATGATATTCTACCGCGGATCGTTCCCGCTAAAACACGAGATCTGCGAAAATGGCCAGGAAAACAACTCACCCGAATTCGTTCCCGTTTTTACCGAATTTTTCTTAGGAATTTTCTCGCTTCCGATTTTTCCCGAGTAAATGGTAGTCGATCGGTTTATACGGTAAACAGTGTCGGTCGGTACGGGATTTTCCCATAATGTTTTCATCCCTAGTTATAATAACTATGTGAGAGATGTAACCATTTGTGGATAATGTATATTGTCCATTTGTTAAAATCAATTGAAACTTTTATAGAAAGATTATACACCAAAAATATGTTATCATGTAAATTTGTAAAATTCTCTAACTAAGCTTAGATATTACTACAGTTACTCTATAGTAATTTAGATTTAGAAAATATGAATTATCCCTAGTAAACAAATTATTATTTTTGTCTATCTCTGGGATATGGGCTAAAGTGAATCATGTGAGCTTAAATAAACCTTTTAATGAAGTTTTTATTTTTCAAATCATGTGAGCTCCGTTCGATTTTTTAGGATGTGGTTTTTTGGCTTCTTTCACTCGATAGTGTATTGAATGCCCAATACTATTCGTAGCCTAGTGATGTATATAAACTTGACTTTTTTCTGATTTTAATAAATGAAACGCTGTTTGGGCCACTCAGACAAAGCAGGGAAGCGGGTGACATGCGGCCTATCAGGCGCGGGAAGTTGGGCCTGGCACGCTGCGCTGAAAAGGTGGGAGGCAGGGCGGATTCGGTACACTAGAAACGTGGGCGTGGCTTTGCCGCGCCTTCTTTTTCGATTAGGACAGTGGCAATAAGAATATAGGTGTAGTGATGAGAAACTCAGTTTTTTTTTTGTTCATTTTATGATTTTTATGTATTTTCGAGACTTTATCATCATAAAGGTATAATTTTATTTGCCCTAAAAAGCATAGGTAAAAGTTTATATGAAAAAATCCTTACTAAAACATGTGATATTATGGATGCACTGCATAGTTCTACTTGTTAGGATTTCAGATCAACTTGATTTTCTAATTTACAATTTTTCTGTGATTTACTATGCAATTTTAAAGTTTCAGCTAATTTATTTTTTGAAAAAAAGAGATATAGTTAAAGGTGGCCTGTATTTTGATTTGAGAAAAATCTGAGGAGGTTTTCGCAAAAATTGCTGAGAGTGTCTCTGGAGCGCGGGTTGATTTTCGATAAAGTGAAGGTCTTTTTTGCAAAAAATCCGGAGCCCATCCGTTTTGGACTGCGGGTTGATTTGGAAATAATCTAAGGTGTTTTTTTTTAAATATTCTGAGAGGGTCTCTAGAGCGCGGGCTGATTTCCGAAAAATAGAAGGGGTTTTTCGTAAAATAACCGCGGATCGCCCGATTGGACCGTCCGCGCGCCCGATCGAACGGCCGCGGAAAGCCCGTGACGTGGCACGCTGACTGGGCGCGGTTTGGGCGCAGGTTTCATATATAAAAGATGTGGATGATGAAGCGCGTAAAGTGCAACAAAAATGAACCTTGCTCAGTGAGTGACTAGTGCACAACCGTGTGGTCCCAAGTTCGACCCCCTTCTGTCCCAACTTTTTTTATTATTTCCCACTTCGGACTGGTGCTGGTGCTGGTGCTCCACTTCGGAGGCTCAGTCTGGTGCTGGTCTGCTCCCTGCGTGTGTAGAAACCTTTTTCTTTTATAGAGAAAATTCTGAAAATCGTATAGAAAACACTTCTATTTTCTTAGAAATTTTCCAAAACTAATCTAAGCATACAGAAAAATGCATTGGAACACACTTTCATTAATTTGTAAAAAAATTATAAAACCATAATTGTGAAAAGAATCATTTGAGTGGATGATGTGCATTAGGCCTACAAGGTCGTATTCCTGTGATCTTGAATTCGATTGCCTTCTGTAAATATATTTCCCTTTTGGAAGACTTCACCTGGGCCGGCCGCACGTTGCTGGGCTAACGCGAGGGCGCGCTCAAACACATGTGCCGCACCGGTTTTTTATATTATATTTATTACTTTTCTACTATCTTGGCGTAATATAAAAGATATTATTCGTCTCCAACAATCAATAATTGTGTGCTTAGTTAGGTGGTTTGAGATGTCTACAAGTTGATTGCAGATTTGATTCAATTTTATTTGATAACTCTTTTTTTTTACCTTTTTCCATTTATAGCCAACAAAATATATATAGGTCACCTACATTATGCACATCTAGAGTGCGCGGCGTTGACTCACTCAATGAGTTAATTCATGGTTCACTAAGGCTAAACTTATAGTTTCTATAAACTAAAGCACAAACTTAAAAGAAAAACTTCATAGCTTAATGGTAACACCATGCACTCCTAAGTGCTTGGCCACAACTTCAAACACATCATATCCATGTTTGTTCTTTAGGAATGTTTTAAGATAAAAAAATATACCATTGTACATTATGATAATAGCATATTGGACGTTATGACATCATAAAGGTTGTCATAATATACCATTGTACTAGCTTTAAGACATTTTTATGACGTGCATTTGTTAATGCCACTAAGTTGAGCGGACTCCAAAACAAATGTCATAAACTAATCGATTTAATGACCATTTGCTCAAATGTCATGCCATAATCGTCATATGATGGCACATTTCTTATAGTGTAGGCTAAGCAGTGTGGCAGAAAATAAATGTTTGTCTCAACGGTCCAGTGATTATATTGTACACCTTTTCATCACACACACAAAATAAGAATGAATGCCACAATCTTATTTTTACCATCTAAGTCTGGAGGCTTCTTTTTTCTAATGATTTATTTTGTCTCTTATACTCCTACGTTCCCATGCAGTAAATCTCACTAGGGATGGAAATCGATGTCTAGAATTCCGAATTATCCGAATCTGTATCCGCTAAAACGTGAATATGGATATTAGTATTCATATCTGTTTCTAATATGGATACTAAATGGATGTATCCGAATTCGTTTTTTAGTATTCTTTTCTATTTGGTTCCAGATCCGTATTCGACCAAAATATGGAATATTCTACATTTATTCATATCTGCAAAGAAAAAGGTATAATGAATCTATTAATTTTTTTCATGACTCGTGACTAATTATTCAATTTCAATATTATTAATGATGCATTGGAACTATTTGTAGTATATCTATAAGTAATCTATAATATTAATATAATACTATTAATGATACATAAATATTAAATTACTTTTAGTATTTTTCTAATTTAGTTTAAACCTAATATATTTGTTGTTGCATATTATTTTAATTCTTTAATTTATTTTTTGCTGATGTAAATTATTTTATATAATTTATAATATCATGTTGAATATTATATAAACAGTGATTGATTAATTGATATATTTAATTGTTAAATATTTATTGAAAACTATGTTATTTTTATGAGCTATTCTTACCTATGTTATATACCCACATACTTTATTCTCTACTTGTGTAATAATTTTATAATTACAAAATAATTTGATAAAACAAAATGGCTACTTGTTGTCTACCATTCTCATTTAGTTCACTTGGATATTGAAGATTATTGGAAGTGTACTTTGATTTTACTTTGGTTAT